AGTAACGATTAGTTTCTTTTTAATTAAGTACATATAATTATTTCCGTTATTAAAAAAACATTTAAGTTTGAGAAATACACGAATCTTTACACACAGAATTAAATACATAAAAATCTTTGTTTTAGTGAATATAAACAAATGCTGTTTAAATACGAGAACCTCTGATAAAACGCCTCGCCGTGAGCCATTAATGCGATCCGATAAGACAGATCGCATCGGACGGTGGCATCACGGCGTAATGATATAGCCCGCTAATGCGACGTGATACCGGAACAATCTAGCAGCTTGATTTGTAGCAACGATCGCGACAGTGTCCTGCGTTCGATCGCGTACGCTCGTGATCGCAATCCAATCTATAATTTATCCTCGCGGCTACGTATCACCAATACGCATCGCGTCGCGAAATAAACGAGTCAATCACGACTCGACGTTCTAATCCCATAATGCACACCTCGAGATTTGGAAGATTCCAACGCCATTTCTCCCTTGCACCAATTCAATTATCACGAAAAATTTGCTTCATTTTTTCTTAAGGTAATTCTTTAGAAAAGCACCAAAAACTTGGAGTGTCTCATCAGGACCCTCCCAAAATCACAAATATTTGTATAATTTGGATAAAATATTAAAACAACATGTTTATCTACGCATCTTTGTCTTGCGAACAAAGTTAAAATTTCGCGATAAAATACAATCAAGATATAATTATAATTACAAAATGAGGGGCCGCGAAATAACTCGCAAATTGTGCTGTTATATTGTATAATTACAAATGTCATGGCAATTGCGCGACGGTTTCAGTTGATAGATAAAATTGTCAATCTCCCCTTCCCTCTTCGGTGACATTTTAATTACCGCCGGCGTTATCGATAGCGTAAGAATTGTGAAATGCAACCAGGGCGTGAGATAATCGGCGAAAATGTCACGTGTCATTATTATTACTTATCGTTTTGTGGCGAGTTGCATAATGCATGTAAACCGTGTCATCGCGTAACTGTATAACCCGATGCAACTGAGCGAGTTGCGACAAAGAGTGACAAATTATCGTGGCGAGAGCGCGAAATTTTAATCTAATAGCTCAGCTTTTGCGCATTGTATGTAGAACACAAGCATAATGTTACCAGAGATATCGTCGTTAGTTTGCGCTAATTGAATGCAATTTTCGACGATGATGCACGACGATGTTAACCGGCCTGTCGCCGTGTTGTACGCAATTTTACGATAAAAATACATATTTATCAACCAGTTTGAAAAACTTAGAAATACCTAATCATTATACTTTTTATTAATTGAACATGAGTTGTGATAATTTCTTAATTGATCTATATTCTCCTTGTATATTGTCAAAAGTACTCGTTAGTTTTTAAAGAATAATCTCGGATTCCTAGGGAATTTGATAATTCTGCAAATAGATCGTGCGTCATATTTTCATTAAGAAAATTGTGAAAGTAATTATATTTTATACAAATCAATGATACACATAAATGGAATTAAGTAATTACACAGCAATATAAATATAAAGAGATAAACGACAGATTAATTATAAACTGTCAAATATCATTTCGGGCAGCTCGCATAGCAATAGTGTTGTCTTTTTTTTAGGACAAAATCTCAAAGTTACATGAGGAGAAAACTTTCAAGTGATAATGTTAATTAAATGAACTATCTGCGCTCGGTGCGTATCGTACATCGTCATTAACATTGTGCGCGGAGTAAGGAGCACGTTTTCCTTTTGAGGGCCTCAGGTCTTGATCCGCTAAAAGGTCGCGTTACGACAGCGGAACGTGAGTAACAGCCACCTCCGCATTTTCTCGCCGCACGTTCGTTGGCGTGCCGCTTTGTAATAATAACGGCCGCTGCAACACGAAAGCGAGACGCGCCTTTCATTACGCTCGCTGCAGCGCGCGCGCGCGCGCCAAAAGCGCCTAATTGCAGAGATTAGAAACGACAGCGAAAAGAAAACAGTCACGAGAAAAGTCGCACGAAATTCCTCGGCATTCTTCACGCGCAACAACTTTGGACGGATATTTATTGTTTCTCTGGAGAAAGCAAATATTTTTAAATATTTAAACATATCACGTAACTGAGAAATATGTCAGCTTTAATTTAAATTCTTTTTAATAAGCTTGTAGAATATATTTCTCTGTAATTGTAAAATCCTGAGGCAATTATTTCCGTGATAGACGGAGGATTAAAAAAAGCGAAAGGATTTCACAAGACTTTTTCGCTGCGATGATTAAGACTGTACTTTAATTCCGCGGAAAACGATCTCTCCGAAGTTTCAATTTTTTTTTTACTCGAAATTTAGGTTGACATTTTGTGAGGTTTCGTTTGCAAAATCATCGCTGAATTTCAACGCCTTCGCGCGCACTCGATCGATATCTACGGCGGCGCGAGCGACCGATTATTTCCCATTACGAGGGCTCCGTAAATCGCGCGTGTACCGGCACCCTCGTTAAGCAGCCACTTTGCCTTGTTACATAGCCAGATAATGAGATTTCCTGTATATCTGCCGTGAGCTCCAAAGGGATAAGAACCGATCCTAAGCTATATATACTTACTCGAACATATGTGCGGTACACAAAACGTTGTACGAAGATGGAGCGTACTCTACCGCTCACTCCCTTGTACAAAATACAAATTTAAAAGCGTAATGGATCAATGTTCGCAACCACAGGATTAGAGACAAAAAAAACTCGCACCGAGAGCAATTCGTAGAATTTGAAATTTAATGACTATACAATAATCTCCGGAAATTCGTAACTTCGATCAAATTCAATAATATCGTATTTTTCGACAAAATAAATTTTTTGTAGGTTTTGCGTGTTTCAGTAACTTTATCAAAATCGGAGCGACTGATGGCGATTGAGACGATAGCCGATGGCTGTGAATTATTAATGTGTGTTTCAAGGGGGAGAGGAGGAAGGGCCATGGATAATTTTGCAGCAAGCCGAATGTGATTACGCGGTTCGTTACACGAATCTGGCATCAATGTTACTTAACGCGGTTAGTTGCACACGTTCAAAGTATTCACTGCAACGCTGAAAATCACGTTACACCCAGTTTTGCAATAATAATAACAATAATAATAATAATAGGAACAATAATAATAAGCGATACATTATGTGTACGTATATGAAAAAACATTTTGCAAAATTCAATTCGTAATTCATAATTGGTGATTTGTATCCACCCTTCAATTATTGGTCGGCTAAACAATCTGGGGGACGGTAATTATTATTACATTGGTAGACGATTCAGCGATTAAATTTCGTCACGGATAAATGGAGCCGGTTGAACATAACGAGAGAGTGATTCGATCCACTCTTTTATCCGATCGCTTTGAAAGCGTGTATTTTCGCTTCATGTCATTATTCAATTTCATTCGAAACGCTATCCTCTCAACGCATTGTGAAAAAATGCCGTATAATTATCGTGGCGCTGAAAAATGCAACACGTAAAGCTCTTTTTAAAAGCAATTGATTTTTCAACTCTTTTATCTTTTGTACAGATCATAAATTATTTAACGCTTCCTCTTAATTTTAAAAATTTTACACGTTGAGAAAATGATTGACGGATTCTACACATTATGTAGCTCGAACGAGAGCTATATAACAAATAAAACTATAAGGCGATGTTGTACTGCATAAAATTAATGATCGTATAGCTGGTAAGTGTATTAATCTTTTTAAAGCTTACATGTAAAACAAAAATTTCGCTGATAAATTGTAGCAATTATTTCAACCAATAATGAGAGGGTAATAATAAATTTAATCGTTATTAAGTGGATGCACGTAAATTGCATTAAATTAATTATACATATTTTCTTACAAATTCCATTCCATCACATCGCCCTACTTTAATAAATGAAGTATATTCATTTTGATAGCACTTCACTTACCAATTATATTCGTCGTTAAATTATTTCAACAGCTTTTAACTTCATTGCTCGCCTAAATACTGCAAGTTACAAATGCGAGGGAAAAGATTCGCCGAGAGATGAATTTGAGCTAAAACGGCTTTCCGTACAATTATTAATCGGAGGCGATTCGTCGAAAATCGTTAGCAGCGCAACAGCTTACCATTGACTGCGCGAATCCAGCTCAATTATCGCGGACGGGGGATCTTTCGTGAAATCTCTCGCGAAACTTCGTCCCGAGGAAAGTTGACGTCAACAGTGAGCAACAGAGGGAAGGCAGCGGTCTGTCATTTGCTCGCGGATTCGCGCCCCTATTGATTATTCGCGACAATAAGTGAACGCGCACTCGCGCGAGCGAGGCGTCGCGCGTCGGCGGCGACGAATAACGAGTCGGTCGATTATTAAGCCGGGAATCCAACACTCGCGGAATTAACGCGAAATTACGGGAGAACGCACGTCGTATCTCCCCGTCGTCGCGATAATGCCACGCTGCGTGAATAACGGCGCGCGGAATTTGTGAGCTGCGGAATCCGCGCGACACTCGGGATGCACGCCCAGCCTTCTCCCGAGACGTGCTTCGTGAGATTCGCATGGAACTGGAATTGGTACTTAACGCTTCGCCGAAGACGCAGAGCGCGGATTTATTGCGAGAGATATATAGCAAGTCGGAAACTCGATATGTCCGCCGAACGTACCGTGCTGGCTTAACTTGCCAATTCGTGTTATAGCAGATTAATAGCCGAAAATGATTTTCGCATAAGTGACGGAAGACGTTTCGAATTTATGAGATATTTTCAAATGCAAAATTATGTGATCCGTGTAAGCAACAACTTTACAGTAAATTATCCAAGGTCCGTTTAAAATTCAACGTCTGAACTTAATTAATTTAAGTTCGATATCCGACCTAAGAATATTTAAAGAAGAAGAATTTAACGTTCTAATTTCCGATGTCTAAACATTCCGTGCTTGATGTGATGATTTAAACAATACGTCAATCGTATAATTTGTTGAATAATCCCAAGAGGCTCGTCAACTCAATATTATAGTGCCTAACAAAGAAGCCGAATGGATAAACCAGACTTACCTGGTCGCGTTAATCGTGAAGATGGTTTCAATGGAGCGACGATCGAGCACGCCGCCACTAAGCAGATACTGGACGGCGATCAGGGCGAGGACGACGCAGGCGAGCGCCTTGAGATGGGCACGATGCCACAGTGCCACGGCTGCGGCGGCCACAGGCATTGCATGCGCGAGACACCATAACTCCCTTCTAGCCGCCGGTAGAGGAGCACCGCCGTGCACCACGAGGCACTCCTCCTCACTGGCTGCTTCCAGTTTCAGCTGCAGCTGCAGCCCGCAGGCCAGAGACCGACCCTGCTGCAGTTCTTCTTCTCCTCCCTCGATGGGCACGAAGGGAGAAAAGCCGCCTGGGGCTCCTCACTTCCGCTCACCAGGAGCATCACCCTCGAGGACCCTCGCGACCGTCCCCTCGGACGAAAAGTAATATCTGCACAACAAAAACATTCAGGAACGTTAGAAAATTTCTCACACTGAGAGATATATTCTATAAATTAGTAATTAATTTATTACAAATTAACATCAATATCGCTAACAATTTTTTATTTATATAAAGCTTATATAAATGTATTATAAAATTAATTATATAATTACTTTATTTCTAATTAAATATAGAATATCGTAAATAAATATAGAGTATCGTTAAAATTTATTTCGATACCGCAATCCCTTGATTATATTACATTTTGTAATTTATTAACATGCCATCAATTTGTTCTTTAATCAATTATTCCCAATTCCAATTTTGATTCGCTAAAAGAAGAGAATATTTTCGTAACATAAACGATATTTGAGACATACCACGAGAGAGATGTCTTATAAAAAGAAAGCAGAACTCGCTGATAAAATATTATCTTTGCATATATATATATATGTAGATTAAATTACATCATAATTAAAATGTGCGAAAACAATTTCAATGGTCAATGTCTTTCTCCGGAGTAAGAAAAAACATAAAAAAGACATTCAAATAAAAAATTGACGTACGTTCCCCTTGTGAGTGAAGAAAAATAATTTGAACGCGATATAGTATAGCGTAGAAACGCGAATTTTTCACGAGATCTTTCGCTTGACCTCGCACTGAAGTTCCTAGCTAATATCACGCGGGGCCATTAACACCGTAAACTGTAAAATTTATCGCAAGGCAGCTTGGAAAAATGTAATAATACCGGCGGTATCGTATACCTTCCGAAAGTTACGACCAATGCTCAACGAAATGAAAAGGAAGTTTCCGAAGATACGGAAAATTAAAAAAGGCTGTATACGGCAGTACTAAAAATGAACTTATTCCCGAGAGCATAATATGATTATGTTGCCAGTCTTTACCGAGACCTGCCACAAATGTCGCGAAAATTTCATTACTGCAATTTCATTTCAGCCTAGCCCTTTCGTCGCCTATTTGCGCGAAAGTAACTGTGACGTTATTTCATTTTAGAAAAAGTTAACTAATATGTTTTTAGTGTGCAAAAAAAAACACCCCCCTCCCTCATTGAGTAATTTATAGAATATAAAAAATTTAATATTAAAAAAATTAATATATAATTAATATATTCTCTAAAATTCAAAAGAAGCAAAAGACAGAAACGATTTTCCAATGAAATGCTTTACCTTTTTTTTTAAATAGTGTAGAATATTGTGTTTCGTCAACGCGATATTAATATACTTGAGTTTGTTTGTAACAAACAGACGGTTGTAATAACATTAGCGGGGACGCAAAATCGAATTCGATACGTTGTCGGGGAAAATCACTGTATTATCGGAACTTCATCGGATCAAACTACGTCAGTTACTCTACACCACGCGGACCGAAACTAATCCGAGTTTATGTGCCGAGAAGCTTCTGAATAGTCGTGTTTAACGAGTTGGCAGACTTATCGACCCGCGATGGCAACTCGCTCGATTATTTCGGCGCAATCTTTATTATATAGTAATTTGCCTATATTAAAAAGTGATTACCGGCCCTTATTATCGCCGATAATGCGGCCGGTAATTTCGAAACCCTGAAACCGCGTGTTTTCGGTAGCTCAGTTTGATTAATCTATTAATTAATTAATTGGCAAATTTGCCAGACTACATAAATAAACACGCGCGCGCGTTTCTGCGCGAATGCAGATTCGATCGCGCGAGTCTTGCCAAAACGGAATTCGTTACGACGTAGGGAGAGTTAAGCAAGAAAACTATTGCAATTGCAAATTTGGAAAGTGGAACGCAAACGAATCAAGTTGACACGCGCGCTTTATTGCACGATCGGTTGAAAGTAATTAAAGAGTAAAAAGCTGAATCCTAACGATCTGCGTATAAGCTTCACTCCCAAGCTTTGCATTCTTTATGTAAGCTAAGCTTTTGTATTCTTTATGTAAAATCAGAAGAACACAAATTAAAATTACAATGAGCATTCACATATTGTTTTTAATTATCTCTGTGTAATTATACTCCATATTAAATATTCTTTTAACAAAACACACAAGTGAATTAACAAAACGGTAAAAATACTTTTACCGTGCACGTATTTAATGTGATTTATTAAAAAGGATATAAATTGTTACATAAAATGGATAATTTGAATACAATTCATTATTTATTATTCGCTGACCTGTATTCTTTCGTGTTTCGTATAACATATACTTATTACTTTCTCAGATATATATATTTCACTCGTAAAACATCCAATCGTTCTTTATCATAAAACTCTCTTTTACTCGTGTACATTATCATATACGAGAGACGAATATTTATGTATTCCGTGCTAAGAAGAGGCCTGGAATATTGCTTCCGTCCTCTCCTTCTTGTCTTTCGCGTGCTTCGACGTTCAACAATGCTAAGGTAGGTCGTGCTCTCCGTCTATTCATACCGTGCGCGCCTATGTTTAATATGCAGTCGTAATTCCAACCCCTTCCCCGTAATTCCTCTCCCCTCTCTCTCTCTCTCTCTCTCTCTCATCCTCTCTTGTTGTTACTAGCTACCCGCGCGTTATCGTCCAGCTCCACTCTAGCGTACGATATAGCGCGCCCTGATTTCTCTTTGAAAATGAACGACGAGATATTATGGGTGACACTGATATGAAAAAGGATAAAATCTCATATTATTTAAAAAAAAAATGCGACAGACGGTAAAATCTCATAAGAGGAAAAATTATATCAATTATATTTTGATGTATGAAATATTCGAGAATGCTTGTTGATCATTAATTAATGCCAATAAATATTATTTAATGTTATAATTGATGTTGCACATTTGCTATATTGACAATGGCTCTCATAAAAAAGTCAAATGTAATTTCTTTAAAAAAGACGAAATACGACAGAAAAACGAGAATTTTTCATTATAAAAATATTATGTTCTTTATTTAATTCTAACTAGATTTTAATATAACAGAATCTCGATTTTAAATACATATATTATTTAAATACATATATTATTTATAGATATTTAAATATATAAATATATTATCAACAATGTTTACAATATATATTATATTGTATGATTTTTTAATGCATTAATATGTTACGTAAATATTTAACTTAAAAATTTTTTCCACGTCACGACAAAACACGGTATCCAATTCAATATTGATAAAAGCATTTCAAATTGGAAACCGGCAACTAATAAATTGGCATGATATTGACGATAGTAATGGCCAAGATTAAAAATTCCGATCGGCCAATTCCATTCGATAACAATGCTCTTTCTCCTCGTCACAGCGGCGATACCCTTTTTCCCCGAGGGTGAGCGCGAAATGTGACACGGTGCTCCATCACTCGGAGTGGAAAACATCATTCGAAGGTGAAAAACCGCGGCTTTTCCACTTTCCGAGCTATCGGATTTTCTCGCTCGGCAGTCGTCAGGATTTCCGTACTTCTCGCGACCAAGTTGACGCGCAAGAAAGTCCCTCGTGTCCCATCTCTATCTTTCTCTCTCGCGACAAGAGTTCATGATTGCAGCGTAATAAAAAGGCGATCGATAATTTCGAAATGTACAGTAATAATAATAAAGGGCAAGAAAATACATCTCTCTGATGCTGCAGTTTCAGATAATTTCACAACCACCATTCTATAGAGATTCAGCTCTTGTTTTTCCGATCATTAGAGAGATAGGTATCAGGAAACTCCATTTCGGTTCAGTATTTTGAACGGAATTTCAGAAATACACAACTAATGCCCGCTTCCGTGTGATTAATCAATCGTCGAAATGTTTGACCGCCTATAGCGTTCAACAACCGCCGGCTTTCCGAGGTGCATAGAAAAAAAAAAGAAAATGACGTGAGCGCGGCTACTTTTGTATGCGCTCGGCCGCGTGCCTGCGTCGTACCTTATTTACGGCCGTATGAAAATTCAAAGATCGACGATATGCACGACTGAATTCTGCAAGAGTACAAAAATGGCGGCAGACGGGGCCAGGCGTGAGCAAACGCGTAAAAGACAGATCGTAAATTTTATGCAGCTACTCGGGATTCATCGCCACGCCGGACCGTCATTGGTTACCGCGCGATATATAGTACCGAAGCATCGGGGACTCCGTATCTGATGTTACATACAGCGTTACGAGCATTATATAATCTATATATGTATATCTTATATATTTTTATCTGTCTCTTCAGCTTTCGATATTATATAAGATAGACAGCAGTGTTCGCGAAGGAAGTACCGTGTATGGGGATCACCCGTTTGTTGCCGCGCTCGACCCGTCTTGATAAAATGCGCATTTTCCGCCGTCCGTGGTATTTCATTTCCTCTGTGAAACGTAGCGCGCTCGTCGTAGGCGATCCTCTCTCTATCGACGGGCAAAAACCTCTCGACGACGTCGCCAATCCGTCTCACCGCAAAATGCGGAAAAAGAGAGAGAGAGAGAGAGAGAGAGAGAGAGAGAGAGAGAGAAAGAGAGAGATACAAATAACAGTCCTCTCTCTCGCCTCTCATTTATCTCTGTCACTCGGTGACAAACCAAGCAAGCTCGGAGAACGATCATGACGAGTCATTCGCCCCATGCCGGAAGTATTATATACCGGGCTCTCCCATTATCTCGTGACATTATGGGGATGTTATAGGTACGTTCTCTCTCGGCGACATTTATAACTCGTTACAACTTCCCCGAAATTACGTCCACCCTAGTTCCTTGCGCCCTCTTATCAACTTGACGGGACCCTTTCTCATAACGCTCCTCTCTTGTCGTTTCGAGCCACGACGCGTCACGTCGGATCAGATTGCTACAAATGAGAGAACAAATATCCCAAAGTTAACCGCATATTTGATATATAAATTTCCTAGGTACGCTGTGTTTTTGCCGGAGATAATTACGCGTGATAATTAAAGATGCGAATTGAAACAGCTGGAGATACATGTAATTTTTTACATGGAGATAGGGTATGTAATTAAGGGAGACGCGAGTCGGAACTCTCTGGCTCTGAATGAGCAATTTTAAGGGGAAATCAGA